TTTTTTCAGCTCGTAACGATAGAATCAATCAATTTAGAACTAACATGTATGCTATCGGAAAGCATTTTGGCACAATTTTACTGAAAAGACGAGTTTTTCATTACTCATGAATATTAATTTATGCAAATGAGACGAGTATTTCAACCAATCGTGTCATGCAACTCCCCCCCCCCCCCCGGCATAGTCCGTGATATGCGTCACGCGCAATAACATTGTTTACATCAAATTCGAACGTGCTGCGACGACTAATGAAGGCGGCGTGACAATACAATACAGTGACGTGACAATGTGACGCGCTGCGCGACAACTGTGGCGCGCTACGTGGCGCCTGTGTGACGACAATTGTGGTGCACTACCAAACGGTTGTAATACGCTGTATGACCACTGTGATGCGTTGCGTGGGGACTGACGCATTGTATGACAGCTGGATGCGCTGCGGTACAACTGTAACGCGATGTGGCGCGCTAAATACAAAAAGCTATGTCCACACGCCAAACAAATATATTTAAAGTAAATTCCAAATCTAAAAAGTTCAATTTTTAGCATTGTATTTTGCAGTGAATTCACACTGTTAACATTTTGAATCACTATAACAAATGAAGCATCTTACACTCACGTGAGATATTTTCACGTGAGGGCGCTCGTTATTGAACCACTTTCCCGGAAGCAGTGAGACTGTGGTGCAGAAATACGCGAGCTTTATCATGGCGGAAAATACAAACATGTAAGTTATTCTATAGAAGAGAATTTTATTTTTGTGACGTCGATTGGTACGCCCAGAAGAACAATATTACGCGTGCAAGTTTACATTACATATGTACACCCCAAAACGGTATGCGGTATTCGTCGTTGGTGGCGCTGTGGGTAAGGGATTCCTCGGGGGCGGATATCCGGACATTTTCTACCGCCTGGCAACCCTCGCGGTGAAAACAAAGACCAAAAACTCGCAGAAAACGGTACTTTGCAATGGTTGTTGAGAGTCCCCTGAACAGTGTAACAAGATTAGCCCTACGTGTGTAACATATATGAATTTGGTTGTTCAGGATTACTTCAAAGTTGAGTTTGTGTTGTTTTCTCGAGTTTTCACCGGCTCCACCGGCGTTCCACAGCAGCGCGCACAAAGCCCATAGAAATACGTGGTACAGTGGTGCGCGTCTTAGCAACGTAGAACGTCTGTGACGTAGCTTCGCCCCTGAGGATAGGTCTCGAACAACCAATTACATTTCCATAGACGGGCAAAGTTTTGGTATATTTTTGAAAAAAAGTTGTAAAGATTAAAAATATTGTTTTAATTTACTGACATATATGTAACCAAGACACGTGTTGTCAAGCTCGTACTCCTACAAAATGGATCGAAACACAAATTGTTCAGATAATTGGTAAGTAGAGTTTAAACTACGGTCACGACGTCAGACTATTATATTGCGCAGTAATTTGTTGAATGAATAACCGCAGGAGAGAATACCAGGAAGTAGTTGAAGAAATCCTTCCAGTAATTCTATTATTTTGTACTGGAGTTTCATACCGAGGTTACAGTGTAATTTTTGTTTAGGGGCAAGTCCCCGGATCAAATCCGTCTTTTCAGATCCTCCAAACTATGAAGTGATCACTCTACTGGCAGAACAAAGCTGGCGAGTGTTGATAGTGGGAATGCAATAAGTGAACCGTGATTAGCATGTTTCAGGTGTATGTTTTCTGTTCATAATTTTATTGTTCGTATACACATAGGTATGATATGGGACTCATAGCGACGTATAGAACGCGTGTAAAATACATTGTTTATTTACATGAAATTCGAACACGCGCTGCGCGACGACCACCGCGCTTCAAACAACAGCCGGCACTAAAATAAGCCATTTCTAGACAAATACCCTCGGTCACGTCATGATAAGATTCAATATATATCAGCAACCCCCCCCCCCCGTTATCAAATTTCTAGATCCTCCAGTGATATCTCTGGATTTAGAATCGACTCAGACCTTGGTAATTCAAAACCATAAAAACTCATCGGTGTCGATGGGCTCTACATTGCATCGACGATAGTTGTTCAGATTCACAAATCATGGATGAGTCATGTATTTGTCAGTAAACAAAGTT